CGACGAACCATAAGCCAGCGGGTGCCCGGCGAGCAGTTGTCTGCCCGCTGGGAAGAGGGCACGGGCAGCGGGTAGGTGGCGGGTACCCCTGCCCCCACCTACCCCCCACTGACTCCTATGTAATATTTTGGTCTCGGGATCCTTCGTGGAACCCGAAGCCATGTCCAGACACATTCAAACACAAACGACGACACCATGTATTCAAGTAACTGATTTAACCCAAGAATCACACCAAATACATCCTAACACGAATCCTAAACATGCCAAGACTCAACACCCGAACATGCAAAATCCCACCCAAACATACCAAGAGTTAACACAATACGAAATCCACGTTTATAACCCTAGGGCTCTAGTCATAATTAAAACACAAAGATCGTTTATATAACATATCATAGAATCAAGAAGAGTTAATTCCAGCAATGGTCCTCCGACAATATTGATTTTCCAAAATTAATCATCGACTTTTAATTTGGACATTTTACGTCCTTCTACTTTCAATTTCTTTCCAATTGAGGTCCTTTCGTCAGATTACGGTAAATAGGACTTTAAATGAAAGGGTAAAGTAGTCATTTCATCTTCATAATGTATAATTCTTCATTTTTCACCCTAATATGCGCGACTTCGAACATCAGATTCACTTAATTGCTTAATCCCTAAATCACTCGAAGAACAAAATTCCATTATGTATTAAGCAATTAAGTGAATCTGATGTCCAAAGTCGCATATACAAGAAAGAAATACGAAGAATTATACATTAGGCAGATGAAATGACTACTTTACTCTTTCATTTAAGGTCCACTTTACCGTAATCTGACGAAAGGACCTCAATTGAAAAGAAGTTGAAAATCAAGGGACGTAAAGTGTCCAAATTAAAAGCCAGGGACTAATTTTGGAAAATCAATATAGTCGAAAACACCATATCAATCTCAGGCAAAGCCTTATCAAAACTCAAACACTGAATCATTTATCAAAGGAGCCAATGAAGAAGATTATAGCAAGGAAAATAGGTTTTGTTGAGACATGGGTTACCTCTTAGCCTTAATTAGAATCCTTGGCTACTAAGGTTCTTTCTCTAAGATCTCCTCCTCGTGATTCCTCCTACGTTTGGTGACAAGGAATTCATGGGTTCTTGTGTGGTGGAATCTATTGTGGTGAGATTTCTAGGTGCCTCCTAGGTCCTTATATATATATATATATATATATATATATATATATATATATATATATATATATATATATATATATATATATATATATATATATATATATATATATATATAAGAGCCCTAACTAAGGTCTGAATGGTAAGGATTCACTTATTCTATTTCTTATAGGACTAAAGGTTTGGTTTAAGGATAAGGGTTCATGATCCATGGTGGCCCCTTCTTAATTAATTAAGGGGATTTAAACCTCTTTTAATGGTAAGCAGTTAAATAATTAGTCTGGGTTACAGGCCGTAACACAGGGTGTTACAAGGGTGGCCGTCGGCCACCCTTCGCCGCTTTCCTCCTCCTTCGTCTCCGGTTGGAGACGAAGAGCCTGTCTTCGTCTCTGACCGGAGACGAATGAAGGGGGAAAGTGGGGTCTCACGGCACCCCCGACGTTTTTTTTTTTTTAATTATTATTTAAAATGCCAACTCACCATCCACGTAAATGGGTAACCTGATAAAATGTATGGTAGCTTGCTATCAGGTGAAATTGCATACATTTAGAGTGTTCAGTGGCTTAATTGCATTTTTTCGTTCAATGGCATAATTGTATTTTCAAGTTACGTTCAGTGGCCAATTTGAACCTTATTCCTAGTTAGTAATAATTAAAACTCAATGAAGATGTTATAGTCAAATAAAACAACTACAATTATCATACAAATATTACTCAATAATGATGTGAGCCATACTTTAATGACCCAAGATAAGTCTCAAATAGCTTGTTCAAAATATGTTTTAGAGTCTTAGAGACGCATAAAACTAAAATATGTCGGAAATTAAAGGGAAACCAAACAAACAGTTTTAATAGACCATAATGCCCTAAATTGGCCCAAAGGTTCAAAACTAAATGATATTTAATAATGAATTTATGAGTTAATAATATGCTAAACCATTCCTAAAACATGTTTTTTTTAATGTTTAATTATAATAATAAAATAATTTAAATATTGCTTAGATTTGTATATTAATATATTTTAAATAAATTGCAATACTTGAGGCAATTTAATATGAACTTTAATATTAAATTAAAATTCAAATAGCAAATTAAAACTTAATATTTGTCCTAAATTGAATGCTAATTTAATAATGATTGAGTTTGAGAAAATTCATTTGGTTTTAATGAGTTATATATATTGGTTTTTTCTTTTTTAGCATATATACGATGTTTGGTATTCCCCGTAGTTTAAGATTGCAATCAATATGTTGATAGTGTAATATAAAATTCCATAGTTAAAGCAGCCCCATTAGGGGTTTTTGGACCAGGTTTTGAGGAGAGAGAGAAAGTACGGTGTATAAGGGCATCCTCAATAGTTTAGATTTTTTTTCAAGTTTTTGTGGGTTCAATCTTCACTTTATCATTCATTATCTTACTTAATCCCAAAAATCCTTCTTCCCATTAGTTTAGATTTTTTCTCAATTTTTTTATGGACTCACCATTTATTTTACTACTAGTTTTTTACGCGCATTACGCGATTGGGATAATGCCCAATATTATTATTTTTTTAAAACAAGTACTTTAAAATATATCAAGGCAAAATTATATTGGAATTGTTCATGCATAGATAATTGAATGTTAAATTTGCGTATTTAAATAGACAATTCTAAATTTACAAATGCAAGATAATATAGTCAAGATTGATTATAATTGTCAATAAAATAATTGTATAGGTATGGTTGAAACCAAATACGGGACATAAGGGAGAACAAATAAAAATTAGGGCATAAAATATTAAATATATACTAATATTGAAGAGCTAACGGCTGATTGCCAAACAAGGACATTGCGAGATAGTTTCACACTTCAATTTGTTGTGTGATTTGAATACTCTTTTTGTCAATAAATCCCCAAGTAGTTAATATGATTGGCTTAATTATATTTTGTTATTTTGTTATTTTTTAAAAACAATTATTATTATTATTATTATTATTATTATTATTATTATTATTATTATTATTATTATTATTATTATTATTATTATTATTATTAAATATATGTATACCCTTAGGTTATTTTACATGTTAATCTAAACAGTTTTTTTCAAATATCTTTTTACCAACCGTTGATATAATTCGCTGGTCAAATTCGCTAAAATAATCCACTAACGCTAATCGCTAACTGCTGATTGTCAAACAAGGACATTGCGAGATAGTTCTTGCTTCAATTTGTTGTGTGATTTGAATACTCTCTTTGTCAACAAATTCCCCAAGTAGTAAATATAATTGGCTTTATTAATTATATTTTTTTAATTTTTTCATGGTATTAATAAAATACTTGGTAAATAAACATATAGCATTATTTTGTATTATAACTTTGATATTTAATTAAATAATAATGCACAAAAAAGATAATAGACAATGTAGTGAATATAATCAATTGATGAATTTGAATGTAAAGAATTTTTACATTGGAGAAATATAAAGACAATATAACTAATAAAATTATTTCTCTTAATTAATTTATTGATAATGAATAATTTTTTTTAATAAAGACATTGTAGGGACAATGTAGCGATTATAATCAATTGATGAATTTGAATGTAAAGAATTTTTATATTGGAGAAAAATAAATACAATATAACTAATGAAATTATTTCTCTTAGTTTTTTTTTTTTTTTTGAATGGTTATTTCTCTTAGTTAATTTATTGATAATGAATATTTTTTTTAAATAAAGTCATTGTAGACACATAATTCTAAATTAAAGAAATGCATATGTATTATTTTTTGTTGTAGCTACTAAATTATTATTTAATTTAATAAGAGGAAAATAGAGTACTAATTATGCCAACTTTGATTGGGATGTGGTTCGAACCTAAGACCTTTCTTATTGAAATCAATGAGTAAGTTAACGGTGAACTAACCGAAATTAAAGGAAAAAATAATATTTAACGGAAAAGTTAACAGAAAATCATATTCATTAAGGATAAATGAGTAAATCTTAAAGAAATATTAAAATCTGATCAATCTGAGCCATTCATTTGATTAAAAAATTTGACCGTCATTTTTTCTACCCATTATAGGCCTAACTCTTTTGGGCTCTTATTAGTATATATATATATATATATATATATATATATATATATATATATATAGTAGATATTTTAATTATTATTTTTATTTATTATCATTATAATTTTTAAAAATTATAATTATAATTATTATTTTATTATATTTAAATTAAACATATCAAAATTCAAATAATTTTATAATTATAAATATTTTAATGTATCAACATCTAGTTGAAATGATAATTATAAAATTAAATTACTAATAAATATAATATTTAAAATTAAATTATATAGTATATGACTAAAAGAGATTATATAAACAAAAATAATTTTATCAAAACAAAATAAAAATTGTGGCCGTTGCTGCATAGCAACGGCCAAAAGATTAAAAATAAAATAACAAAGCTAAATGAAGACGCCTCAAGTGGCGTCTATTGCCTGACAAAAATTCAACCTTAAAATTTTTACTATTTCAAAAACTAGGTAAGATCCCCTATTGGTATGCTCTTTGGATATTGCAGAATGTTGAGGTTCTTTGTCTTCTTGTGTGGGCTCCACAAAAGAAAGAAGAAAGCATTTCATTTTGCGTGGACTGCAAATTTGCGCTTAGTCGACGCGTTTATAGGCTTTAATTTAATTTTTTTGAGGGGGTTTTCTGACATTTTGTTGTTTTTTTTTTTAATACCACATTCTCTCATTTTCTCTTTTCTAATCACACCTACAAAAATTTTTCAAAAATCACATCAAAACCCTCACTATTAAGGTCTTTAAGGATGCCCTTAGTTTGGTTAAGATTGGATATTTATACCAATTATTTATTTATTTATTTATTTGTTTGTTTTGAAAGGAAAGATAGAAATGCATTAATGAGACTAAATGAAACACGGATAAAAGGAGGAAGAGTGACAGATTAAACCCCCTAAACATACTGGTTTAAAGTCAAATGTACTATTAATTAAGTTAAATTTTTTGGAGAATGTAAAGTATATTTTGCATATATTCATTAAAGTTACATTTTAGGAAATATTATTTCAAGAAAGATAATATCACTTTTGGTCTTTTAACTATCAATTTGATCATTTTTAATTTTTCAATTTTTACAAATTGACCAATTTTGGTTTAAAATGCTCTCAATGTTACAAAACTTCATCCTCTCCATACAATGATATTTTAAATTGAATTTTAGTGATTCAAAAATATCGAGGGATTAAAAGTGGATGATCAAATTGAATTGAAAGTTGAAGACTTCGGTGAAAATTTCATTATAATTGAGAGAAAAAAAAATACTAATACTAACTCTTAACTCTTTCGAGATAAACATAATAGAAGTAATTTTATAATGTTTAGTATCAATCTTGTATGATGATACAATGTCGTATACTCTATAAACTCAATATCAAGAGTAATCATGGAAATGACGATTCTACAAACGTGATGTCCTCCATTCTTCCAAAAGGCTAAATCCCAACCCTGGTAACTAGACATTTGCTCACTGCACACAAGGAACTTCTCTCACTTTGAGAGGTTGCTCCCACACTGCCGTTGGTGAGATTCGATCCCTAGTCATTTTTCCAAACTTTCACTTCTGTGTCCAGTTGAGCTGTCCATGCGGATTACGTGATGTCTTCCATGCATGTAGAACAGGTCGCTAATAGCTAGGGATAGACCGTGACGAAGATACTTCAAATGCAAATTAGCAGTGTGTAAATTGTGCACAACATATTTTTGTATATAAAAGAAAAAAATGAAAACTATTTAAAATTTAAAATATAAAGTTAAAACATTTATTTATTTTTATCTGACTATCTATTTGCTTATTCAATTGACTAGCCATTACACATGAAAACTAATTCGATTTATACATGTTACAGAAAAAAAAAAAAAAGACGTGTTATCTCATCTACACAATTAATGGGTATAAAGGTAGATTTATGTTGTGAATACAATTTTTTTTTTTTTTGAACAAAATTGTACGGAGTATTAAATATGTAAATTGGTTACATCCAGCTGGGTAATATGACCAGATTTAATGTCCCAATTCGTAATTAATGAGCCGTGCCACCATGGGCAATCGTTATATCCTGCACCACGGCACGCGTAGCATTGTGTGTCCCGCGTCTCCCAAAACAACATCATTTTGGTAAGTTATGTAGGGAGTTGACGTGATTATGTGTATTTGTTTATACAATTATGTGTATTATATAATTATGTTCATTTTTTATACAATTATGTACATTTTTTATACAATCATGTCCATCTTTTTTATATAATTATGTACATCCGAAATGTGTATTATGTTAAGAGTTGATGTTTATTATGTTAAAAGTTTATGTATATTATGTATTATGTTAGATTATATGTATAATCTTTTTTTTTTTTTAAAGTATGTGTATTTTGTTATACAATTATATACATTCATGTATACAATTATGTGTATTCTAATATAAAATTATGTACATTTTTGAACATGAATTTTTTTTTTTTTTTACAGAAAATTAACCGCCAACACAGGGTAGCAAAATTTCAAAAAAAAAAAAAAATCTGAAACGACGTTGTTTTGCATCAGGGCGCACAATGCAATGCGCGCCCTGGTGCAGGATATAAATTCCCCATACGCGGGGCACATCATAGGCAAGACCAGCAATAATTAAATGCAACATAATTGTATTTTGACAAACCAAAATTATTAAAAAGGAACCAGGCCCAAATTGGTCATGTAATTAGGCACTAAACGGGAAAAAAAAAGTGTAATTGAATCACTGAACACTTTAAATATATGTAATTTTACCTGATAACATGTTAATCTCCATTTCTTTCGATTGTCTACTTACATGTATAGTGAGTTAACATTTTAAAAATAATTTTTAATTAAAAACTTTTTAAAAAAAATGTCGGGATGCCCGCCGACCATCCTCTTCCCCCCTCCTTTGTCTCCGGTTGAAGACGAAGAGAGATCTCTAGATCTTCGATCGGATACGAATGACGGGGGGAAGGGGGTGTAAATCCAACGAACCAAGGCATCTCGTTCGTTGGACTTACAGTGGCCGACGTTTTTTTTTTTTTTTTTTTTTTTTTAAAATTAAAAATTAAAGAAAATTGTATTTTTCGTCCCTAAGTTATAAGTTAATTGTAGAATTTGTCTTCGAGTGTTGGTCATGCTCACTTTTCGCCCCTAAGTTATCATTGGTGTTGCGCTTTTTGTCCTTTCGTGCTCACTTTTTGCCCCTGAGTTATATTAAAATTGCAAATTTCGTCCCTAATGTTTTATTTAGTAAAGGGACAAAAAATACAACATCAATGATAACTTAGGGACGAAAGGCAATTATAATCAACATTTATGGACGAATTCTACAATTACCCTATAACTTAGGGACGAAATGTGCAATTTTCCCTAAAAATTATTTTTAAAATGCCAACTCATCATCCACGTAAGCAGGCAACTGGAAGAAATAGATGTTAACATGCTATCAGGTGAAATTGCATATATTTGGGATGTTCAATGACCTAACTACACCTTTTTTTTTTTTTTTTTTTTGGTAGTGTAGGAACTGGAGATCCTAACATCACCATCTAATATAAAAAAAACAATATTAAATAGTTATAATCAAATCAAATAAATTTATGACTGTCACTAGGTAATTACTTACCATCAGTCACCCTAGCTCTACAAAGTTGGAGTATAACGATCAGTGGATCTACGGAATCAACATTACAGTAAGGCAAAATAGAATCCACGTGCTCGTCCCACAGGGTTATCGTCAGACGAATCTACCTGAAGAAAATAACTTAATTGTGAACGTGCTGAACGCTATATTTATAGTTAAACAAATCAAAAAGCCATCTAAAAGAATACCTATCGGGAATCTTCAATGACGAAATCAATCAACCTTTGAGGATTTCGATTGACTTGGATAACATTTGGCTCAGTAATGGAAATTGCACGGCCAATCAAATCTACAAGGATAAACCAAACCATTTTAAGTTGACAGTCATGAATGTATTATTAATATATCAAAAAGACCAAAAAAAAAACCCCAATATAGAACAAAATTATAACAAAAATTTGCCAATTAGCTTATTGCTATCAACACCTCCGGGACCTCCAACGACCCAAAATCCTTGAGATTGAACATGTGTTTTGGAAAAATCAGATTTATCTTGATCCGTAACGCTAACGCAAGTGTCGTTGTTCGCTTTCATAATGTACTTGTGCTCGCACAACTTAAACGTCGCGAAACGTTTGCACAACGAAATTGTGAATATCATAAACTTTTCCTTCCTTCAAGAGTTTGTTGAATTTTTTGACAACTCTTTGGAGATTTGTAAATGGATGCGAATTCTCTGAGAAAATCACCCGTAAATATTAATAAATAAATAAATAATTTTTATAACCTTTCCTATCATTAAAAAATATTAGTAATTAAAAAATACAATTTATACAATTAAAATGTATAAACTTAGTTGACAAATATGTCTAACATTTCTCATTCGGACGACTTAAACAATGCAAATGTCCAATGGTTTGTCTCACCCATTTTCATTAATATATTATCAATATTCAATACTATTGAACACCATGAACTGCTTAATGGTTACTCTATTGAACACCATGAACAGTTATTAAAAATGCATAACATTAGCTCCACAAATTAAGTTAAACAAACATCTCAAATGATACTCTTAATTATTATATTGTATATATTTTGGTTTCACTTAGAGATACTCACTTTGACACTTCAAAAATGTAAAATTAGAATAAATGTGGCACCGGTGAGTCATTTACTTCAATCCGCTGGAAATAAAAGATAGTAACTTCATGTTCGCAATATTTTTATAAGTCATTGATCATCTATCAAACAGTCTTAAATTATACCAAAGACTTGAAGGAGGTATGGATTAGTGGATTACATTGAATACCAATGAAATATACAAATTGGGAACATGCACAACAAATCAGTTATAAAACAAATCTTGGAGCTTGCAATATATGGTTCTAAAATAAGTCTATAAATGCTATATGTAGATAATATGCCTTAATTAACATCATTTGTTTAATATTGTTGACCCATAAATATATCATTAATTTAATTATTTGTTGCTCAATTATTGCAAAACATTGAGCTACACTTATATTTTGTTATTTACTAAGTATAACAATATATTGTTATCAAGTATTTTTTTTCTTTATTGATAATGAGTTTTGTGGGCAGAAAATTAGTGGACAAACAATATATTGTATAGAATATGAAAAGCGGTATAGGTACCTATATTGTAAATACCATTAAATTATTATGGAGAAATTCACATTGGAGTCATGTAACAGAAAATAATAGATGGTAGAATTGTTCAGGATGCAGAGAGTATTTATAGTGCAACTTCAATATTATTATTTGGAGAAATAAGGATGATTTTGCAGATTCTCTACCCAAATAATTAGTACGTGAATTTATTAAGGTTAGAAAAGTATTATATTTGCAATGACATGTTTCATGTACAACTATATTATGGTTAGGAAAGTATTTATGGTGTAATTTCAATCAATATTATTATTTAGAGATTTTGTAAAATAATAATTAGAATTGTATTAGGGATATGAAAGTATTTGACTGTGATTTTAATCTAAATTATTAATAAATAATTCTTTTTCAAAAAAAAAAAGGAATAAGGGCCAAATTGGCCACTGAACGTAACGCGATAGTGCAATCAAACCACTGGACCTAAAAAACGTTCAATTACCCCACTTAACAGCGCAAATTCCTCCAATTTTACCTATTAGCCCGTTTTCATCCATCCTTTCCGGTTGCCTTGCTGACTGGACTCTTACGTGGCATTTTTCTCCTTTTCTTTATTTTTTCTTTCTTCCTAATCTTCTTCTTTCTTCCATCTGGTCGTTGGTGATCGTACTCCGGCTTGTTCTGCCCATGCTACGAGGACGGAACAGGTGTGGGGGAGGTGGAGAATAGACCGGGGGCGGTGGTGGAGAGTATACCGGAGGAGGCGGTGGAAAATGGACAGGAGGTGGCGGTGGAGATGGTGAGGGGGGCGGTGGAGAATAGACGGGAGCTGGGGGTGGGGATGAAACAGAGACAGGTGGGGAGGGGGTGAAGCAGTTGGTGGAGTAGGAGAAGCGATTGGAGGCGGCGGCGAAGTAATTGGCGGTGGAGGAGAAGCGACTGGCGGCAGACCCCATCTTCCTTTTTCTTTCTCTTCATCTTCATCCTCTCACTAAACTCTCTCTCTCTCTCTCTCTATTTCTCTATCTCTCTCTTAAATTGACTCTTCCGACTCCTCTCAGATCAGGTTCGTATCTCCCCCATGTTATTGATCTAGCTTTCTGTGTACTGAAAATTCAGTGAGTTGTTCAAAATTTTGCACTTAAGGTTTCTTCTACAGATGCATACTCTTACTCTTAGGATGAAGATGAACGGCTCACATGCCTTCCATGAGGTGCCTGGTGGACCCAGAATGTACATTGGTAGTCAAACAAGCAACTATTTGGTTATTTCTACAATTAATTCTCAAGAAGTATTTTTTCCGTTGGGTATGTATTTCTTGCAGTTGATTTTGAGTTTAGTTGGTATAAAGTGAACTCTTTGTCGTTTCTGTGGTAAGGAGGCATCAAAACGCCGTCACCATCACCGCCACGATCGCCGCAGCAAGAAGCACGAAGAGAGTGATTCCAAGTCCGAAAATGAGATTTCCGAGGCTGGGGCTAAAATTGAGAACGAAAAGAAAGCACTTGGCAGCGGTGCAATGGGTGTGGTAGTGGGCAGATTGAATTTAGGGATTGATTACGATATGGAGGAAGGGGAGATTGTTGCCGGAGGAGGAGGATAGCAGATGGAAGAAAGAAGAAGATTAGGAAGAAAGGAAAAGTAAAGGAAAAGAGAAAAAAAAATGCCACGTAAGAGTCCAGTCAGCAAGGCAACCGGAAAGGATGGATGAAAACCGGCTAATAGGTAAAATTAAAGGGATTTGCGCTGTTGAGTGGGGTAATTGAACATTTTTTAGGTTCAGTGGTCTGATTGCACTATCGTGTTACGTTCAGTGGCCAATTTGACCCTTATTCCAAAAAAAAAAAGGAGGACATTTGGACGAAAGTAGAGAGGCTGAGAGCTGGCTGAGCCGCCGAAGAGACATTTCGAAAACGGCGTGAAAGCCAAGCCGAAAAGGAAAGCCAGCTAGATTCTCGTCACTGCCCACTGCCCACTGCCCACTGCCCACACTCCACAGTCGCTTCTTTCTCGATCGTCTGTCGGTGGTCATTCTCGCTATCTCTCTCTCAGCTACTTCACAGCTCACCCCTCTACCATTCCATTCTTGCACACATTTCTTCTCCCTCTAACAAATAAAATATTTCTCTTCTGTTCTTCTTAATTTCCACCTTCTCCAATGGTTTAATACTCCTACTTACAAACCCCTCTCTTCTAAGGTATGTCTGTCCCTCTTTTCTCTATGAAGATTTCGCTGTATTGTCATAAAATAGGTTCAGTGATTCCCAAATTTCTTTTAGATCTTCTTTTTATCCCAACTCACCTTGTAAAATTCCAGCTAAATCGATGTTTTAGTGCGAAACAGAATCTGGGTTCTTTTAATTGGTCAAAAAGGTGCAGTCTTTGATGTTGATCTAATGTTGGTGGCTAAAGTTTCATGGCGTGTAATGTGGTTTTATAATCTCACTTGAATTCATGTGTTTTTTACATCTTAAATGCCGGTCGATGTAGTCAGAGCTGCTACTCCAATTGGAAGTGTAGTAATTAAACATTTCAATTGATCTATCTTTCTTTCCTGGTTTACAGTAAAGACACTTGACTAGGGTTTAGTCTAGTAATTTTATGTTTGTTGGTTTCTTTTTTTGTGGATATGTTTTGAGTATAGTTCTCGTGCTTGAAGCTGTTAGCTTTTGACTGTATCTCGGAGGTTAGATCTGAAGTGAAGATCTTGGGATCACAGCAAAGCTGGCGACGACGGTGGTGTGGAGGTATTCTGCCAGCAATGGCAGTAGCCATCCCAATAATGATATGGTGTGTATGATTTACACAAGGACCTTTTAATCATTGCATTCAAAGTCTGGGTTTTTAATTGCATATCGTTCTCTGTAGTCTGTTGCAATCCATATAGCTTGACATGTACTTTAGAATTTGCTCACTGGGCTCTGGTTTCTTACAAAAAGTATTTTCAACCTCAGTGCAGTTTTGCCAACTTTTCGCTCCAAGGTTTAATTCTAATGAGCGACGTTTTTCTAGATATCTGTCTTAAAATCTAGGAATCTATCTGGAAGAGGCTGCAGGAGAATTTATTTGCATGTCTTCAGTAATTGCATTGTAAAATTATTTGCTATAGGTCATATGTTTTCATATGAGGAGAGCTATGGCAAATTTTATGTTGCTAGAAAGGGGAGAAGAGGATCCTTGTCTATTTTCCACAGTATTGTATGTTCTACTCATCTACTGCTTATTCTGCTAGACTGGATAGGTCCTTAGAACCACAATTTCCACAGTATTGTATTTTGCCTTTTAAAACCACAGTTTGGAGATTTCTCCTTGACATTGTTTGTTTTGTTCATTTGTCATTTTTCATTGTCCTCAGTTCCTTGACCAAGCATGGAGATATCAGTCACAAGCATGCCTCATGATAACACAATCTTTCTTGATTTTTCTATCAGGAAAGAAATGGAGATACTAAACCTCATGAGTTAGAGCCGCCAACTCCACATTCTCTCATGAAAATGGGTTCCAGGTTAGTTCACTCTTATTAGATGAATTTCTTCTTAGAGGGGGATAATCAATTGCTAGACTGGTTTTTTCAAGGGGCTATGTTTTTCATCTACTTAGATAGGAAGAGGAATCTCTTTTTGCTGGTATATGTTGACTCTAAAAGCATTGGATGGACTTCTGTTGTATGTTTTATTTCAGAATTTGAATTTCTTGTCATCTTAGTTGAGATTGCATAATATAATACTATGCTTTCGTTGAAAAGAATCTTTCCTGACTATTCTGATTTGAACTATAGTAGCCAATAGCATAGTGAAACATGTGCATTTTGGTTAGTTTCCCCTTGTGTGTGTGTGTATTGGTTCCAGTCTGGCATTTCACTTTGGCCCTGTGCTACTTGTTTCTCTTTTTCCTTCACTTCTTAATCTCAATATTTAGAAGATACAAATTTGGTGAGAAATTCAGTTCGTGACAAAAGAAACAGAACTTTTTGACATTGTGCAGCATATTGTTCTACAAGAATTCTGTGATTTTTCTGGCATATGATTTTTACATGGTCTCAAACCCCTAGTACTTGTCTGGGTATTTTAAACTACAACTATTTCCTGTAAGAACCTCTTGTTGGTTAAATATGTGCAGAGATCGCAGTAACATGGAGGATCCAGATGGGACGTTAGCAAGTGTTGCTCAATTGGTTGAGCAAATGCGCAAGAATTCAGCTTCTATGCAAGAAAAAGAAACTCTGTTGAAACAATTGTTGGAGCTTATTGATACACGAGAAAATGCCTTCAGCGCTGTTGGGTCACATTCTCAGGCAGTTCCAGTGCTTGTTTCTCTACTTCGATCTGGTTCATTTGGGGTAAAGATGCAGGCAGCCACTGTTTTAGGCTCTTTGTGTAGAGAAAACGAGTTACGAGTAAAAGTTCTACTTGGAGGTTGTATTCCTCCATTGCTGGGTCTTCTCAAGTCAAGTTCTACAGAAGGTCAAATTGCAGCAGCAAAGACTATATATGCTGTGTCTCAAGGTGGTGCTAAGGATCATGTTGGCTCAAAAATTTTTTCAACCGAAGGAGTTGTCCCAGTATTGTGGCAACAGTTACAGAAAGGTCTCAAATCTGAAAACTTAGTTGATGAATTAATAACAGGCAGTTTAAAAAACCTTTCTACCAGCACTGAGGGATTTTGGTCTTCAACGAATCAAGCTGGAGGAGTAGATATACTTATCAAATTGCTAGCTACTGGACAACCAAGCACTCAAGCAAATGTGTGCTTTCTCCTTGCATCTATTATGATGGAGGACTCATCCGTTTGCTCTAAAGTCTTGTCTTCAGAGGCTACAAAACAACTCCTTAAACTACTTGGACCTAGTAATGAAGCTTCTGTCAGGGCAGAAGCTGCAGGGGCTCTTAAATCTCTTTCTGCTCAATCCAAAGAGGCCAGGCGAGAGATAGCAAACTCGAATGGCATTCCTGTACTAATAAATGCTACTATAGCACCTTCAAAAGAATTCATGCAGGGTGAACATGCTCAAGCTTTGCAGGAGCATGCAATGTGTGCTCTTGCAAACATTTCAGGTGGCTTGTCATATGTGATATCAAGTCTTGGTCAAAGCCTTGAGTCATGCACCTCACCTGCACAGGTTGCCGACACATTAGGGGCTTTAGCTTCAGCTCTCATGATATATGATAGCAAAGCGGAAAATTCAAGAGCCTCAGATCCTCTGGAGGTGGAACAGACACTGGTTAAGCAATTTAAGCCTCAGTTGCCATTACTGGTGCAAGAGCGTACTATTGAAGCCCTTGCTAGTTTGTATGGGAATGCTATTCTCTCTAGAAATCTTGCGAATTCTGATGCAAAACGCTTATTGATTGGTCTGATCACAATGGCAACTAATGAAGTTCAGGATGAATTGATAAGGTCCCTTCTTGTTCTTAGCAAAAATGAAGGTTCTTTATGGCATGCCCTTCAAGGTCGTGAAGGGATTCAACTACTGATTTCTCTTCTTGGACTCTCATCAGAGCAGCAACAGGAGTGTGCTGTTGCTTTACTCTGCCTTTTGTCTGATGAGAATGATGAAAGCAAATGGGCCATC